TGAAACACGTTGCCACGGGTTGCAACAAGATTCCGAAGTTGGACATTGAAACTGTACCGTGTAAATCATGAGCTAAATGATAAATACTTTGTGATACACTTACGTCTTATGTGGTATTGATTTGTTTTTACATATAAGTGAAGGTCAAAAGTCATGGTCACGGTCAGATTGACAAAATCTTTTGTACAACCAGAAAGGTCTTTTCACAAGGAATACACATAAAAGCCCTACCTCTTACAGAGCAATGGTTATAGACAATGTTAAATGTTGACAACCACAATCGATTCGGAGGCAAACAAGTTTCAAGGGAACTCATGAAAAAGTAACAGGAGTATAAAACCAGGTGTTCCGGAAGATCGAGCGTCTTCTGCATCATCGACAACACATGTCAACACATGCGGATCACAAAACAAACTTTACAACACTGGAAGCACCAGGAAAACTAACGAGCATCTATCTTGATCAAACATATTTCGCATAAGAAATAGAATATTCCTGACGACTGAAAACTTCCCAATATTTAATCGTGATATTGTGAATCAACTTCCACATGTAAACCTCATAGGTTGAGGATGCAGAGATGTTTCTATCTAGAAATGTAAAATTCACAATAGAAAAATAATCGAGAACCGAGAAATCTTGCTCTAGTTGTTGATTTCCAATTTTGATGGATATATTTGATAACCGTGGTCAATAAATGTCTTGTCGATTAAAGACAAAACGTCATCAATTTATCTGAAAATGAGATTAAAGGACTTTCGGAAGAAGATGGAAATAATTACTGATAACATACCGGGGGTCATATCCAATAAAAGCAGTCTGATTCCATGAGAAACTGTTCCTCCACAAGGCCTACATGGGATGTGATTTTATGTTTTGTTTAGTAATGACTGTTACTGTAGCACTTCCTATTTACAGGTCCTCTGGAGATTGGAGTGCCGGGTTACATTAAGTATGTTATTTTGCAAGGTTTCAATAAAGCTGACAGATCAATTGTACGTTCACTAGGGATTCTCAACATTTAAATTGGAAATAACAAATTCGATCTCACATTCGAAACAACTATATTTGTCCTTCGGCATCGTTATTTCTTAAGCTGTAATGAAACTCGTCAGTTACATATTTCCAGCTATATATTATCGACTCGCACATTTGTGCTCCACGGAGAAATCAAGTATATAAATATAGCGCCACATGATACAGATGTACTGTGTATTCTAATTAACATATTCCTTTGTTGAACTATAATGAAGAATAGATGGTGTTTCTACTATATACCGGTCCGTCATTATTAACGATAGATAGCTACACAGTGATACAGAGAGCCATCAGAAGAAGCGATTCATTGGGTCATTTCCTTCATCGCTTTGAAATAGTTTACTATAAAATATATTAATGATGATTAAGGTACAGTACTTGATTTATGAACACAACTGGTTCAAAGGAAAGGAAGTACACTGCATGTTGTTATGGTTTTACATCAAAGATAAGTAAGTTCATATTGAATTGATAAAAAATAGTTACATGAAAGATAAGATGACGTCGACCTGTCTAAACTGACTACTAGAATCGAAACTCACCTTGATTTTCTGTAGAGATATTAATTCCAAGGATACCTGGTAATTAAGTCCAGCACTGGATAATCAATTAGTCACAAGTTCGTCCCTCTCCTCACAACAATACTCCTGGAAAATCAATTAGTCACAAGTTCGTCCCTCTCCTCACAACAATACTCCTGGAAAATCAATTAGTCACAAGTTCGTCCCTCTCCTCACAACAATACTCCTGGAAAATCAATTAGTCACAAGTTCGTCCCTCTCCTCACAACAATACTCCTGGAAAATCAATTAGTCACAAGTTCGTCCCTCTCCTCACAACAATACTCCTGGAAAATCAATTGGTCACAAGTTCGTCCCTCTCCTCACAACAATACTCCTGGAAAATCAATTAGTCACAAGTTCGTCCCTCTCCTCACAACAGTACTCCTGGAAAATCAATTAGTCACAAGTTCGTCCCTCTCCTCACAACAGTACTCCTGGAAAATCAATTAGTCACAAGTTCGTCCCTCTCCTCACAACAGTACTCCTGGAAAATCAATTAGTAACAAGTTCGTCCCTCTCCTCACAACAGTACTCCTGGAAATTAATTAGTCACAAGTTCGTCCCTCTCCTCACAACAATACTCCTGGAAAATCAATTGGTCACAAGTTCGTTCCTCTCCTCACAACAGTACTCCTGGAAAATCAATTAGTCACAAGTTCGTCCCTCTCCTCACAACAGTACTCCTGGAAAATCAATTAGTCACAAGTTCGTCCCTCTCCTCACAACAATACTCCTGGAAAATCAATTAGTCACAAGTTCGTCCCTCTCCTCACAACAGTACTCCTGGAAAATCAATTAGTCACAAGTTCGTCCCTCTCCTCACAACAATACTCCTGGAAAATCAATTAGTCACAAGTTCGTCCCTCTCCTCACAACAATACTCCTGGAAAATCAATTAGTCACAAGTTCGTCCCTCTCCTCACAACAATACTCCTGGAAAATCAATTAGTCACAAGTTCGTCCCTCTCCTCACAACAATACTCCTGGAAAATCAATTAGTCACAAGTTCGCCCCTCTCCTCACAACAGTACTCCATTATCAGAATAAAACAATATATTATCCTTCATACAAATGAAGGCTTACATGCCTTAGGTGTGAGATCTTACTCCAGTCCTAGTTATATATATATTTAACTGGACTGGCCGGAGTCTGGTGTATATATATATATATCTACCTTTAACTTGACTGGCCGGAGTCTGGTGTATATATATATATATATACCTGTAACTGGACAGCACTATCCGGAGTCTGGTGTATATATATATATATATCTGTAATTGGACAGAACTAGCCGGAGTCTGGTATATACACACAATAGTTTTCATTGTTAATCAGTTCATTTCCACATAGCTCCATTATAGTGACTGTTGTACACACTCGGAGAATGCAGCTTGCCTCTGGACAGGAAATTATAAAAGGCTAACATATACACACTTACTGAACTATATATCAAATGACCTGTGTCCATAAAGCAACATCTTAATTTCGCCGAAGTTGGACATTTTGAAGGACCATTAGAGATAACGAGGATGTTTAAGTAGAAAATATAGATGTATTTAATGATAGATTGGTCAGATATTGATACAAAAGACTTTGATCATTGGCTGTTCATATAGTAGATTGAAATACACTTCACTAAACACTACAAGGATTGGGCACGAATTCGCAACCCACAGTCAATATATAACTTATAAATTATAGTGACAAGGGCTGCAACTCATGAGAAGAAAAAAACGGAATATTTTTTTTCAAGAACGTTTTTGTATATTCTAGGGGCTGCAGATCTGATCAACAATTACTTTATCCCGAAGAGAAATATTTGATCTTTCCAATGAGTGTTTGATGAACGAGATTGACCAAGTATAAACCAAGTTATCACCTGGTTAGTTCGGAAAGTTAGGTAGAAATGGTTAGGTAGACATTTTCCTGTCTGATTGGAACACACTCTCGTCTGTAATTGGTACCACAACAACTTTACCGACATCGCAAATTCTAAGCTTCTGGCGGTGTATAGTACATATGACCTTGTGTTAGTATACAGTACCAATGACCTTGTGGTGGTATACAGTACCTATGACCTTGTGGTGGTATACAGTACCTATGACCTTGTGTTAGCATACAGTACCCATGACCTTGTGGAGGTATACAGTACATATGACCTTGTGTTAGTATACAGTACCCATGACCTTGTGGTGACATACAGTACCAATGACCTTGTGGAGGTATACAGTACCTATGACCTTGTGGTGGTATACAGTACCTATGACCTTGTGGTGGTATACAGTACCTATGACATTGTGGTGGTATACAGTACCTATGACCTTGTGGTGGTATACAATACCTATGACCTTGTAGTGGTATACAGTACCCATGACCTTGTGGTGGCATACAGTACCTATGACCTTGTGGAGATATACAGTACCTATGACCTTGTGGTGGTATACAGTACCGATGACCTTGTGGTGGTATACATTACCTATGACCTTGTGGTGGTATACAATACCTATGACCTTGTAGTGGTATACAGTACCCATGACCTTGTGGTGGCATACAGTACCTATGACCTTGTGGAGGTATACAGTACCTATGACCTTGTGGTGGTATACAGTACCGATGACCTTGTGGTGGTATACAGTACCCATGACCTTGTGGTGGTATACAGTACCTATGACCTTGTGGTGGTATACAGTACCCATGACCTTGTGGTGGCATACAGTACCTATGACCTTGTGTTACTATACAGTACCTATGACCTTGTGGTGGTATACAGTACCTATGACCTTGTGGTGGTATACAGTAGCTATGACCTTGTGGTGGTATACAGTACCTATGACCTTGTGGTGGTAAACAGTACCCATGACCTTGTGGTGGCATACAGTACCTATGACCTTGTGTTAGTATATAGTACCTATGACCTTGTGGTGGTATACAGTACCTATGACCATGCTTTCTTTTGTCGTTAAGCACTGGTGTACGTTGTACCCGGTAATTTTTATCTCAAAAACAAAACAAACAAAAAATCAAATAAATTTCAAATTCTCTTTAGTTTTTTTTTCAATATTTAAAAAAAATGCTACATTCATTACAATTTCACGACAGAGTGTTGCGTTCAAGTTTTCACGCCCTCAAAACTGCAAGTCGCCGACATAAACATGGATGTAAAATAGGAAACTGAACTCCCAGTGTTTTCTGATAGCTATTTATTTGTCTCACTGTCAACTACTGATGAAAGATTACAGAATTTAATTCTGTCTTTAGAAGGCTCACCAGTAAGATCAAAGCTCCTCCTGATTCGAAGACGCACAACTCTGGTCAATCCCGCCATATAAATGGGCTTTTATCTGTTCCATACACGACACTTGATTTTCCAGTAGTTGTTAACAACAGACAACCTTATAGGACAATAAATTCTGACCGGTTCATGCACATGGCACATTATCATTAGCAGCGACAGAAGCGGCAGCTCTGTGACAATTTTACACTGCAAGAAAACAGCATTTCTGGGTTAATATTAGATTGATAAAATTATGTATCCACCTCGTGGAAAGATTATAACTGTACATAAATAACACAGATGTTACAGACCTGGCACTCAATCACTGCATGGATAAATACAATCATGAAACATCCTACATGTACACATTGATTACATGTATGTAACAATTATTGTCAGTCCCTTCGAATCGTCAGATAAGTCATAAGTAATAATATCTAGCAGACTTATTTTTCCTTATCGTTTGATATAGACAGATGATTTGACCAAACCATATGTAAGGCTACATGAAGATGTCCTTGGTTCTGTTAATATAGTTTTTTTTAAAAATATCATTCTATACTGTTGCACGTAAATACATTTTGTCAGACGTCTCCCTAGGGCATCAATAAGGAAATTATAGATACACAGATAAATTGTCTGTCCGAAAGACAAAAACATGAAATGTGTAATATGAAAGACGAACAGACGTAGAGTTTGAAATCAATGCACATTTATGCCCACTGGCCAGTTATTCAAAGGAGAAAATACGAATCTCGAGAAAAACCGGAGAAATGGTCGGAAACAAGTTCATTACCGGGGAAAAAATTAACGGTTTTCCCGATAATGAACTTGTTTGCGAGAAAAGCTAGAGTTCGTCTGAAATATGTATTTATCAACAGACATTGTACATGTATAACGTTTAAGGTATATAATGTATACTTAGTATCAGAATTTTACCAAGTCTCAGGTAGAGAAGAAGACGAGAAGAATGAAAAGAACGGCCATCATGTCCAGGGTCCCCCAGGTTCTGTCGGCCAGTCGTAAGTTCTCCATTCCCGGCGTTAGTTGATTGCGGGGTTAACACATGGCCGCCTGAATCAGGAAAAAAGACTAGTAGTTTCTTACCTTCGGGGAAATATAGAAACTATTACCACAACGGTAAATTATTTCCGTTTTCTTTTGATGATTTTACATATATCTTAGGTAACTCTTTAACGCAGATTTCATAAAAATGTCGTCAATGTTTTGTTCCATAACAAGTCCAGCGATAGAAAACGATGATAGAGCAAATAGTACATTGTATATAGATAGGGCACAGTAGTATCAGGATTACGGTGGACAAGTGGTACCTGTGACTTATATAGGTAAAATATGTTAATGTACTGTTCGTGGAGAAAGTTTCGTTCTCTCGGACTTAATGTGCCATATTAGAGGTCATCGGGGGATTTAGTTTTATCAACTACGGTACACGTTTAATGTATATACTCATTAGTTAGAATTTAATAGTAACCTTCGTCTTTGTTATACCGTCACAGATGTTAGATATAAGAACATCTTAAAACGAGACTCAAGGTCAAACATATGCATACGCCGTGATTCCAAGTTCCAGTTAATCGCAGTATTTAACACTGTGTGTATGCGATAACACTTTTGTACCATTATGTGCATTCAGCTGTCCGTCAGTCTGTCTTTTTCTTCTTGTCCTGTACAATGAAGGTTATTTTTCATATGATATTTGAATATTTTTCGTATATGTTTTTATGTGTTTTACAAATTTATGAGATATAAAAATCTGAATATATCATACAAAAATCATGAGAGGTACAGTGACACGGTATTTAACACTAAAGACACTGAGAGGTACAGTGAGAGGTACAGAGACACGGTATTTAACTCTAAAGACACTGAGAGGTACAGAGACACGGTATTTAACACTAAAGACACTGAGAGGTACAGTGACACGATATTTAACTCTAAAGACACTGAGAGGTACAGTGACACGGTATTTAACACTAAAGACACTGAGTGGTACAGTGACACGATATTTAACACTAAAGACCTTGAGAGGTACAGTGACACGGTATTTAACACTAAAGACACTGAGAGGTACAGTGACACGGTATTTAACACTAAAGACACTGGGAGGTACGGTGACAGGGTATTTAACACTAAAGACACTGAGAGGTACAGTGACACGGTATTTAACACTGAAGACACTGAGAGGTACAGTGACACAGTATTTAACACTAAAGACACTGAGAGGTACAGTGAGAGGTACAGAGACACGGTATTTAACACTAAAGACACTGAGAGGTACAGAGACACGGTATTTAACACTAAAGACACTGAGTGGTACAGTGACAGGGTAGTTAACGCTAAAGACACTGAGAGGTACAGTGACATGGTATTTAACACTAAAGACACTGAGAGGTACAGTGACATGATATTTAACACTTAAGACACTGAGAGGTACAGTGACAGGGTATCTAACACTAAAGACACTGAGAGACACTGAGAGGTAACACTAAAGACACTGAGTGACACGGTATTTAACACTAAAGACACTGAGAGGTACAGTGACACAGTATTTAACACTAAAGACACTGAGAGGTACAGTGACAGGGTAGTTAACACTAAAGACACTGAGAGGTACAGAGACACGGTATTTAACACTAAAGACACTGAGAGGTACAGAGACACGGTATTTAGCACTAAAGACACTGAGAGGTACAGTGACAGGGTAGTTAACACTAAAGACACTGAGAGGTACAGTGACACGGTATTTAGCACTAAAGACACTAAGAGGTACAGTGACACAGTATTTAACACTAAAGATACTGAGAGGTACAGTGAGAGGTACAGAGACACGGTATTTAGCACTAAAGACACTAAGAGGTACAGTGACACAGTATTTAACACTAAAGACACTGAGAGGTACAGTGAGAGGTACAGAGACACGGTATTTAACGCTAAAGACACTGAGAGGTACAGTGGCATGGTATTTAACGCTAAAGACACTGAGAGGTACAGTGACACGGTATTTAACACTAAAGACCCTGAGAGGTACAGTGACATGGTATTTAACACTAAAGACACTGAGAGGTACAGTAACGTGGTATTTAACCCTAAAGACCCTGAGAGGTACAGTGACACAGTATTTAACCCTGAAGACCTTAGGTGTATTAACATAGTATTAAATACTAAAATTGTCATTTTTATTGTCATGTTGCAAATTATTATTACCTAACAGTGTGTTTAATGTGCTGCTAACTTCCCTTATAATCTCGTCATCTCTCACAAGTTGACACATAGGTGTGGAATTTGGTGATGAATGGGACAAGGTATATATATACCGTATACATTTCACAGAAATATCTCTCTAGTGTTCATCTGTTTACAGTAACTTACAAGGTGGCAGGGAAAACACAGAGTTCTGAGGTAAAACATTGGTGTCACTTCATGAGTAACATTTAACTGATAATGCAGAAATCGATCACTGTGTATATATATCGTTGTTTCTTGGAAATAACAGATAAAACTAACGTTATCAGCATCTAGGTGATAACAGTGTCACATTAAATGACACCTACCTAGTGTCAGCTTCCTGTAGGGTTCCCTGTCGAAATGAATCCTCGATTAACGTGTCTTTCACGACCTTGTATTATGTTCCCGTTTAAATCGTTTGCAAATCCATTATCAATGTTTTGTACAGGTTACGTAGAGGTTAAATAATACCCATGTTACCGATTTTGTTAAAGAAAACAAGTCTCCGTCTCAGCCTTAAAAAACTTAAATTGTAAATCAGGAGAGACCCTGATCTATGTTCTGTAATAAAACTAAGTATTTATAATAGTCATTTCACTATCAACACCTGTGCAGGTTACAATGACGTTTTACTGGAAAGTGACTAATAATTAGTCCGCTGTCACTTTCAATAGCTACATATCATTGTCAAATGTCATGCCATGTCATATTTCCAGGAGAAAAACAACAAACAAACAAACAAATCGTCTGACGAGATTGTGAAGTAATCGCATTTTCTCGCCAGTGACAGAAAATTGTGAAAGCGATACTACCTTTCTCCACACTGCCGATGACCTCTTCATTTCATTGAATAGTTATACGTTTAGCTCATTTTCTTCGAAAGTTCATGTGCTTTTCAGTACAATGATAAATCAAGCTTATAATCTGGTAATCTGGACCCGTCTAATGTTTATCTATTTATACTTTTTTCTGTTTATTTATATATCATTTAATTTTCTACTATCTATTCATCTATTGATTTTTCATTTTTGTCTATTTGATAAATATTTTGAGGATAAAGCCTCAGATTTTGATAGATGTGTTAGCATATTTGTGTATTTTTGTTGAAGGAATCATTTCCTCTATATACATTTTATCTACAGATCAGAGCTTAAGTGTGGCTTCCTGAAATACACCCTTGAATTCTCATATCGAACATATTGTTTTCGTCAATAAACTGGCTGCTACCACTTAATACTGACCGGAGATTGACTGACCAACACAGTTCTACGAGCAGAGCACTGACTAAAGTGGCATGAGCTGGGATACGAGTGCTGGTTAATGTTGTCACGACAGATAGCGAATCAGACGTCCCCCACTGGAGTTATTGGTGTCTGTAGATCGTATTTGATCGTATGCAGAAAGATGGAGAAAACTACGGGGTCTTTTCCGTATACACATATCCATGAGTGTGACCATGTATAGAGATCTTCTCGGTTCACAAACCAAGCGTGTAGAGTGTTAGTGTGACCGTTAATGAAAGAATATTTGTCAACTCATCACCTCGGTACACAATGCACGTGGGAGTGTCGCCGTCAAGAATCACCTCGGTACACAAAACACGTGGGAGTGTCGCCGTCAAGAATCACCTCGGTACACAATGCACGTGGTAGTGTCGCCGTCAAGAATCACATCGGTACACAAAACACGTGGGAGTGTCGCCGTCAAGAATTACCTCGGTACACAAAACACGTGGGAGTGTCGCCGTCAAGAATCACCTCGGTACACAATATACGTGGGAGTGTCGCCGTCAAGAATCACCTCGGTACACAATGCACGTGGGAGTGTCGCCGTCAAGAATCACATCGGTACACAAAACACGTGGGAGTGTCGCCGTCAAGAATTACCTCGGTACACAAAACACGTGGTAGTGTCTCTGTCAAGAATCCTCGCGGTACACAAAACACGTGGGAGTGTCGCCGTCAAGAATCACCTCGGTACACAAAACACTTGGGAGTGTCGCCCTCAAGAATCAACTCGGTACACAAAACACGTGGGAGTGTCGCCCTCAAGAATCCTCGCAGTACACAAAACAGGTGGTAGTGTCGCCCTCAAGAATCACCTCGGTACACAAAACACGTGGGAGTGTCGCCGTCAATTTGTTTTGATAAAAGAAAAGTTAAGTGGTGGGCGCCAGTGTTTAGATCTTTTTGGTACATAAACGATACATGACTTTGGCCAGTGAAGGAGTGTTCTTGGCTACCAGATCAGGCGGAATTTTCGCTGACAATGAAGGTATCTTCACGGTACACAGTTCACAAGTCAGTATGGTCGGCAATGTAGGGATATTCATTCTTCATTGTACACAAAACCAGCTTGATTGTGACAGTTAAAAATGTAAAAAACTTGACGTGAATGAGACTGTCAAAGATAATATGTTCTTTGTACATAAACCAGGCGTTAACGAGGTCGAGTGGTCTAATTTCCCCGCGCGTTAACATCCGGGCCAACAAGTGGGATTGATATAAAAAAAAAATTGTTGTAAAATAATGTATATTATATATATATGATGAGCCTATCAATATACGTTCTATTTATCAGTATCAGCGTGTAGGGATCATTGATGAATCATGGTAAGACAGTTACGTTCCTTATAATGATACCTACCGTGTACAGCAGGTCTTTTTCTCTTGTCGTCTAAGTTGGGGAAATGAAATAGACCGCTATTGACCTGCAGCCTCTATCTAAATATTTTGCATCTGTTAAACATCTCCTATGTAGTCTTCCTTGTGAAGTAATTTCCTTGTACTTATTATCACGGTCTGAGAGATTAAGGCAGTGCTCCCCAGTATCAGGATGTGTGTCTGTTCGAACATGACTTAAGATATAGAACGTCACCACAAATATAACAGCCGAGGGTATGTTCGAGGTCTATTTATTTTTGAAGTTGTAGGGAGGATATTTTTTTGTTGACGACACATGAAAATCATATTTAATGTGGTAATTACATCACCTTATTTGGTACACAGACATGAACAAGAATTGATATACACGTATCCGGAATACGGAGGTGTTATGTATGTGTTGTCTGAAGTGTGGGACTGATCCTGGTTATCTCCATACACACAAACAAACGTTTGTTTCATTGCTATACATCGAGTTACCTCGCTTTACTCATCAACCGTACAACTGGTGTTAATTATCACTAGTAACATTGATTCTATTAAAGTCTTTTTGTCGGTTTGAAGTTTGTTCACTTTATTGTGCATTCTTGTCGACTTGCTCTATGTATCGTTGAATTGACTTCCGTTTTAGAATGTTTAACATCAATGTCAGTTACATCATGATACAATGCTGTCCGAGCTAATTTATCTGTCGTTGTCGGGAATATGAACGTGGGATGGGATACATACTAGCTGAACCGTGATATCCTGGTCGTCTAATGGTTGTAGGAATCGTGATATCAAATTTAGAGTGACCGAACACGAGCTGTCTCCGGTGTCTTTATATTGTTATGCCTAAAGACTTTCTGAGACAATAACTGTCATGCCTGGTTTGGTTTAATTTGATCTTTCAATCTAAACGCTAAGCCCATAGCTATGCGATCACTGGAATAAAGAGAGCTTTTGCACAACAGTGTACTCGGTGCATGTATGTTTATGTTGTTGTCAGGACAAAATGCTCCAAGACCTACTCTACCTGTTGTTGTTAGAACCCTGTGTAAAGTTTTAACCAATGACGGAGTTTACAGATTGACATGAACGTTACCTTGGCTACGGATTAATTGTTTGACAATTCAATAATTTCATAATCAATTATTGGTTCACAGAGAATCACGAGGACAAATGGTTTTGAATCTTTTCGATTATTTGAATATGCCTTTTGATCGTTACTATGGTGACCTGGTGTTGTTTATTTTTATCTTTATCAACTGATCTTTTAGTGTCTTTAGCTAAAAGCTTGATATTTGAAAACAAGTTTTCCTCTTCTGAATCTTGGAGGCAATTCGACCGAATCTATCAATATATTAAACGAAAATCTTACTATTATACATACACGATATATGTATATTGAATACGTGATTTTGAGAATTTAAGATCCTAAATTATTACTAATAACTTAATCCCGTTACATACAAAACACGCAAGTTTAACTGTCATTGCACGGACCTTCTCGATAAAAATATATAAACAAGAATTGAATATTTATTGTCGCCACTATGACAGTGATAGCTTTCTTTGTCCGTGTACAATATGAAGTGAACTCTATGTTGTGCGCCTACCCGAATATTTCGTTGAGATCAAATCTGTATTCAGCGGCAGAAGCTAACACTTTGGGAACACCTGGGCCCGTATTCATGAAACAGTTCTCATCCGCAAGAATGAATTTTGTGCTAAAGCCTTATGTCTTGTTTAAGTTAAAAAGCAATAAGTAAGGCTGATTTTGCCAAAGATTTAAAAACAATTGAAAGACCTTCGAGTCAAAGTTAAATTCAATGCTTATATTTGACATTTGTATTATTTTATATGTTTTAGACGAATTATGAAAAAACAAAATCTATGCTTGAGCGTGAGAATGGTTCCATGAATACGGGCACTGGTCTTATTGGTTCTCTTTCAATTGTCTCCTTTTGAATATCAACATTAATAAATACTGGTTTTATTGATTTTGTTATCTGGCCTTGGAATTAGATTGTCGATTCTCTATTGTTGTTTAGGATTTTGTAAGGTTTATGACACACCACAAGGTCGGAGATCTGAGAGGCCTTCGTCAGTAGATGACATTTATATCTATATCAAAAGTATTTTCCTACATCCCTGACCTATACTGGATAACCTAGTCCTACCTACATCTCGTCATCAATGTACTTTGGACAGAGGTGTATCCACGTATCAAACTGGTGTCATTGTTGTGAATGAAACTTCTAGATCATGAATTTATCTGATATCCACAAACACATTTATATCTATATATTGATATCTTTGTAGTGACCCGACGCTGGTTTAAACGTAAACATTCCTAGATAGGTCTAAGCTAGCAATGCTGATAAAAGCTCATTGTATTAAGAGTGGAGGATAAGTACACATCGTTAAATGAAGATATGTAATGGCGGGTCTCACACAAGCAGAGCAGTGTATAGAAGCTATCCAGAATGCTGCCGACAGAGTCTGTTTCGAGACCAACAAGCTCCGGGACTCCATGATTGCTCGAGTAAGGCGTCAACTTGAGAGTAAAGACGACAGTGGAAGTTCTACAAATGAAAGCGAGGAAAGAAAACAGGACGTTACATTGTATTTCCAGCCAGGAGACGTATGTATACAGAAAGTCCAGGACATCCTTGGTCGACTTGAGGCCGAAAGTGATACAGTAAAACACGAACAACTATGGAGAGTGTCTTCATTCCACACAACAACTCGGTCAGTTGATATCCTAGAGTCCACAACCACTGAATACGCGTGGTCCTGTAACCATCACCAGAATCTCTGTTTGGTCGACAAATACGGCAAAGTATTGGTCAAGCGGGAGATTAACCATGTCCCGGAGTCTATCGCCACTGATGACAGTGGCGCTATGTATTATACTTCCTACAGGGAAATGGCTGTCAAGAAACTGGACGTGTCCGGGAAGGTCGGGTATGTGTTTAACACCTCGCCGCTTCACCCCATGGGACTCTGTCTTTCTAACGAAGGCAATCTGCTCATCTGTGTCGTTGACAAGTTTGACTTTGTGACTGGCAAGGATAAACCAAAGGATATACTCAAAGTAAAGCTAGACAATGGCGTGGCCACCTCTGTCAAGTTCAAGGACGAGAACGAAAGGCTGACGGCTCCTTACCGAATTCTGGAAAATATCAACGGAGATGTCGTAGTTATAGACGGGTTGTCGTCCAAGTCCGGGCGGGTAGTGGCGTTTAACGACGTAGGAGGGCTGAAGTTTATATACAGTTGCGAGAGTCCCGGAAATGATGAATCATTCTGTCCGACAAACATGTGCATTGATTTTAAAGGGAATATATTTGTCATTGACGGCGGATCACACAGTATCCACGTACTGAACAGTTCCGGAAAATTACAGAGGAAATTCGCCTCTTACGAAATCGGAGGCGGCGAGCCGACAGTGGTGAGCATCGGACGGGACGGACTTATGTGGGTGGGGCATGCTGATGGAGAGGTCACCGTGTTTAGACATGGACGATCAAGTAGGCCGGTGTCTCGCGAAGTTAATGAAAAGGAGACTTTTTTCTGAAAACACATGTTAATAAAAAAAAACTATATGTTTCACGTGTTAAGGTTAAAATCAATCGTTGTTTTTTTTTTATTAAATATGTTCAAAGAAATTAAAATCCATATGTGTCTTGTTGTGATATATAGACTAATAGCGTACAGATAGTAACCATATTTAAACAGTTTTCGTTGGGTTTAAATAATTCTTTCAAACAAACTGCGCCAGACCAAAAGACATAAGGGGGGATTATCATTTAATTAGCATCAGGAATATCAGCCAAACATATGCATCGTAAAACTGCTTCCCTTGGACAAATATATATATTACCATTCTAATTGTCGACATAATCATCATCTGACTTATAGTATGTTCTGCTGTTGTATGTAAATGACTTGTGAGGAAGTAGGAATGATTCAAAGCATATATTCACATCCCGGAATCAGATAAAGGTCGGTACAAGAGGACATTGCGAAGCCTCTTTCATACAGAATCATACATATTTGTCATGACTGAGACATTACGAAGCCTCCGTGCCTGAAGAGTCATACCTCTATGCCATGACTGAGACATTGCGAAGCCTCCTTCATACAGAATCATACATCTATGTCATGACTGAGACATTACGAAACCTCCTTCATACAGAATCATACATCTATGTCATGACTGAGACATTACGAACATCTATGCCATGACTGAGACATTACGAAGTCTTCTTCGTACAGAATCATACATCTATGTCATGACTGAGACATTGCGAAGCCTCCTTCATACAGAATCATACATCTATGTCATAACTGAGACATTGCAAAGCCTCCTTCATACAGAATCATACATCTATGTCATGACTGAGACATTACGAACATCTATGCCATGACTGAGACATTACGAAACCTCCTTCATACAGAATCATACATCTATGTCATGACTGAGACATTGCGAAGCCTCCTTCATACAGAATCATACATCTATGTCATAACTGAGACATTGCAAAGCCTCCTTCATACAGAATCATACTTCTTTGTCATGACTGAGACATTACGAACATCTATGCCATGACTGAAACATTACGAAACCTCCTTCATACAGAATCATACATCTATGTCATGACTGAGACATTACGAACATCTATGTCATGACTGAGACATTGCAAAGCCTCCTTCATACAGAATCATACATCTATGTCATGACTGAGACATTACGAACATCTATGTCATGACTGAGACATTGCAAAGCCTCCTTCATACAGAATCATACATCTATGTCATGACTGAGACATTACGAACATCTATGTCATGACTGAGACATTGCAAAGCCTCCTTCATACAGAATCATACATCTATGTCATGACTGAGACATTGCAAAGCCTCCTTCGTACAGAATCATACATCTATGTCATGACTGAGACATTGCGAAGCCTCCTTCGTACAGAATCATACATCTATGTCATGACTGAGACATTGCGAAGCCTCCTTCATACAGAATCATACATATATGCCATGACTGAGACATTGCGAAGCCTCCTTCATACAGAATCATACATCTATGCCATGACTGAGATATTGCGAAGCCTCCTTCATACAGAATCATACATCTATGTCATGACTGAGACATTGCGAAGCCTCCGTGCCTGAAAAATCCTACATCTATGCCATAACTGAGATATTGCGAAGCCTCCATGTCGGAAGAATCATATATTTTTATCATAACTGAGACAATGCGAAGCCTCCTTCATACAGAATCATACTTCTTTGTCATGACTGAGACATTGCGAAGTCTTGTTTGTTATTTTGTTCCCGAAAAAAAGCTTTTGTCATGATTTCAGAATATATTACCTAAAAATGGTAATATTGAGTTATGCTTTATAAAGTAATGCTTATCACGATTTAAATTTAAAATTGTTTCCTAATTCATGTGGTTTGTTCGCCTGCAAAGTCTTAGTCCCTATTAATGCCACAATAACACAGTTTGTTTATAGTTCCTTTCCCTAACCATTTTTGTTTTGTCAATTATACTTTTGTATCTTGGCTAAGTTAATATCAATTATCCATCTTCGACTGTGTAAGCCGTTAAGTGGAAAAGCGTCTCTATGCCAACAATATTGACGTCATAATGTTCAGGCGTTGGATGACATGTCCAGTACTTCAAATCACTTACTTTAAAAGTTAACGTACATGTGGTTTACATGGACACATTGCAGTGCAGTGCAGATTAATTTAATTAGATGAACTATGAAAAGTGAAAACATGAAGCTATGTATGTATAATTCAACAATAAGTTGACACAGTTTTATATAACCAAACATCGTTTTATTATCGTCAACAACAAAGGACAAAAATAGAGCACGTAATTACTATATAGTGACGTAGGAAACGACAACCATTTATACTGAAGTAGGCCTATTAAAGCTTGGTGTTTCTATTGGTTTTTAACAATTCATTATCTTTTATGTTGAATTGGGCAAAGGTATGAGACAAATTCCAATAAGAATTCTGAGGTTCCATTCCTCAATCTCTGTCCCTATGTTTCGATTTAAGAAATGCCATGGCCATCCACACAACATTGTATGAGTAAAGGGAGCTAACTCTAACTAAAACATGGAATATCATTTTGATGTTCTGTATTTTCTTTTTTATTTTGAGTTTCACACTCATCTGTTAACACTCCCTTTCCCCCCAAATCCATGGGTTTGTGTGATATATTTAACAATTCTTATGAAAGTATATCAATGTCTACATTCTCTCCTCAACTACAGATCCATTCATCATATTATCATTTACATTTCTATCCTCGACATACCACAACCATACCCTCCCATTTGTTGTTTTTGTGTACAATCGTCAGAAATGTTTACTTTTATCCTCTTATTTGGAAACCAACGATCATTTTCATTCTTTATGAAAGCTAGGTAGTTGCGTGTCATTTTTAACATTGATCTGAAGATACCGAGTTTTGACAAAAATCAAAACAATCCGTATTAGATACCGTTCTTATTCCAGAAGACTGTTCCAGGTATTTATATCGTAGTTAAGTAGATTTCAATAGGACAAGTTATGTCAGCACTGACGTACGATTAATATGGAACAATTTGACGTCGATGACATTAAAAAGTCCTTCTTCTAATGACCAGTTCCAAACCCGGGAAAGGTAGAAGCTTCACACTTCAACAACGCTACTGACACCAACCGTTAGAGATAACCAGTGAAAATAGTTCTTACTGACACCAACCGTTAGACATAACCAGTGAAAATAGTTCTAACTGACACCAACCGTTAGACATAACCAGTGAGAATAGTCCTAACTGACACCAACTGTTAGAGATAACCAGTGAAAATAGTTCTAACTGACACCAACCGTTAGACATAACCAGTGAAAATAGTTCTGACACCAATCGTTAGACATAACCAGTGAAAATAGTTCTGACACCAACTGTTAGATATAACCAGTGAAAATAGTTCTAACTGACACCAACCGTTAGACATAACCAGTGAGAATAGTCCTAACTGACACCAACTGTTAGAGATAACCAGTGAAAATAGTTAGACATAACCAGTGAAAATAGTTCTGACACCAACCGTTAGAGATAACCAGTGAAAATAGTTCTAACTGACACCAACCGTTAGACATAACCAGTGAAAATAGTTCTGACACCAATCGTTAGACATAACCAGTGAAAATAGTTCTGACACCAACCGTTAGAGATAACCAGTGAAAATAGTTCTAACTGACACCAACCGTTAGACTTAACCAGTGAAAATAGTTCTAACTGACACCAACCGTTAGACATAACCAGTGAGAATAGTCCTAACTGACACCAACAGTTGGAGATAACCAGTGAAAATAGTTCTAACTGACACCAACCGTTAGACTTAACCAGTGAAAATAGTTCTAACTGACACCAACCGTTAGACATAACCAGTGAAAATAGTTCTGACACCAACCGTTAGACATAAGCAGTGAAAATAGTTCTAACTGACACCAACCGTTAGACATAACCAGTGAAAATAGTTCTAACTGACACCAACCGTTAGACATAACCAGTGAAAATAGTTCTGACACCAACCGTTAGACATAACCAGTGAAAATAGTTCTGACACCAACCGTTAGAGATAACCAGTGAAAATAGTTCTAACTGACACCAACCGTTAGAGATAACCAGTGAAAATAGTTCTTACTGACACCAACCGTTAGACATAACCAGTGAAAATAGTTCTAACTGACACCAACCGTTAGACATAACCAGTGAAAATAGTTCTGACACCAACCGTTAGACATAAGCAGTGAAAATAGTTCTGACACCAACCGTTAGAGATAACCAGTGAAAATAGTTCTAACTGACACCAACCGTTAGACATAACCAGTGAAAATAGTTCTGACACCAAACGTTAGACATAACCAGTGATAACCAAGTTAGACATAACCAGTGAAAATAGTTCTAACTGACACCAACCGTTAGAGATAACCAGTGAAAATAGTTCTAACTGACACCAACCGTTAGACATAACCAGTGAAAATAGTTCTAACTGACACCAACCGTTAGACATAACCAGTGAAAATAGTTCTAACTGACACCAACCGTTAGACATAACCAGTGAAAATAGTTCTGACACCAATCGTTAGACATAACCAGTGAAAATAGTTCTGACACCAACCGTTAGAGATAACCAGTGAAAATAGTTCTAACTGACACCAACCGTTAGACATAACCAGTGAAAATAGTTCTGACACCAACCGTTAGACATAACCAGTGACATTTTTCTGATGTAAATAAAACAAAATTACGTACACCCTACACTATCACTGCTATAACTTTGTTAAGAAAGGCCAAATTGATAATTTTGAGTACCAACTTTTTAAGTCCATGTTTTTTTCTGTGGCAACAATTTGGATTTTTCACTAACTTGTTAACACGGAGTAACTTTTGAGCGACCGGGGACGTATCTCTGCGGAACATCTGAAACATGTTGGTCCTTATGTTGCCATTGTCCTCCTCTGCTTAACCTGTTTCTCGTCGAAAGGAGAAT